TTCCTTATGCTTAATTTAATGTGACAACATCATACTAATTTTTCCAACAACAATGGGAAAATCATCTTTACTGTTCTTGTCACTACTTTTTCCATATTGCAGCATATGCAACTGTGTTTTACACACTGGGATATAATAAATATTGAAAATAATAGATTGACATTTATGCAAGGAAGTGATGCTGTTATTATTTGTAATTACCACTTAATGTCATTATAATCTTGTTTAACAATTAAAGATAGCCCTACCTAAATATTTAAAGATATATGAAATGCATTCATTTTAGTGGTTTAGTGGAGCAACCGTTTTTCCAATGATATTTATCCACCCTTTGTTGTATAATTTAAGGTATTAGGTCAGATTATAATTAAGCATGTATATCCTGCACAATTTAGTTTTAGTTAAGATGTCTTTGACCTGTTCTATCCAATTGATATTACACCTTACGATTTTACCTCATACTAGGTACCACAGACATAGTTAAATCCATGCACCATTTGCCTGTGCTTCATACAGTATATAATCCCAAAAGTATCCAGTTTCCATAACAACCTTCACAAATGAGGTATACAGAGCTTCATCATGTAGCATAATCATGTCCAAGTGGGTGTTTTAGTGTGTTTTTTTTACAATTAGCTGTCTGTGCTCAAATCAATGGCAAAGATAATTAGTTTAGTATCTGGCAAGTTGTCTTTTCAAATACTCTGTATAGAATTACATATGTTCTTAACTGACTTCTGTTCAAACATTAATAGAACATTTATTGTAATAATTCAGACACACGCTACACAAAACATAAACATAAAACACACAAGTTTAACTATTAATACAGTATGTACAGGCCTATGTCTAGAACGACCAGAAAAGCCCAGACTGCTACCAAATATGTGACTCTTAAATAATGTCTGCAAAGGCCAAAATAAGAGATAAGCTACCTTCTAAAGTAAGTGCAATACAACCTGCAGTTAAATCTCTCTATCTGCAAACCCCCATGCCAAAAAATAAATGGGGGCCTATTCAATCTCCCTTTTCTAAAAATGCACCAATCAAGCAGGAAAGACTGTGCTTAACTGAGGTATTCTTTACTCAGGAAATTCAAGTTTCATAAAACACAAAATAGATAGCTCTCTTTTGCAAGGTGCAAATACTTAGTTAAAATCGGGTCTTTTCATGATCTCGAACTAGGAACCCACACCTGGCATTAGGTTCAATATCCCTCTTGTCTCCTCCCTCTCTTGTGATCTGACCTTTTTTTCTTTCCTCTTTCCCCTCTCCTTGCTCTGTCTTGATCTGATTTAATATGGTGTCTTTCTGAACTGCTCAT